GGGAGCTCCCCAACCCCCTGATCGGCCCTGCTCTGTGTGTGACAGGGTGCAGCTTACCAAGCCCCCCCCACCCCCCACGGGCCCTGCTCTGTGTATGACAGGGTAGAGCCATAACCTCTCCATCGGCCCTGCCCTGAGTGTGACAGTGGCGGCGCCCCAACCCCCTGATCGGCCCTGCTCTGTGGGTGATAGGGGGCGGCGCCCCAACCCCCCTCCATGGGCCTTGCTCTGTGTGTGACGGGGGAGAGCCATAACCTCCCCATTGGCCCTGCCCTGAGTGTGACAGGGTGCAGTGCCCCAACCTCCTGATCCGCCCTGCTCTGTGCATGACGGGGCGGCGCCCCAACTCCCCAATCGGCCCTGCTCTGAGCCTGACCAGGGGCTGCACCTAGGGATTGGGCGTGCCCTCTGCCACCCGGGAGCAGGCCTAAGCCAGCAGGTCGTTATCTCCCGAGGGGTCCCAGACTGCAAGAGGGCACAGGCCGGGCGGGGGAACCCCCCTCCCTCCCCCCCCAGTGCACAAATTTTTGTGCACCGGGCCTCTAGTTTCTTATAAAGCAGGTTAGTGGGAATGAATTCCCTCAGCTTTTGTTCATTTGGTAAATCTATTTCTCATTTCTGAAAGACAACTTTGCCAGGTAAAGTATTCTTGGTTGCCCCTTTTTTTTTTTTTTTGGCACTTTGAATATATCATCCCACTCTCCTGACCTGCAGGTTTCTGCTAAGAGATCTGCTAAAGTCCTTATGGGGACTCCTTATATGTAAGTAATTATTTTCCTCTTGCTGATTTTAAAATTCTCTCTTGTGTATAACTTTAGCCAGCTTTATTATAATGTGTCTTAGAGAAGATTGTTTTGGGTTAAAATTTTGGAGTTACCCATTAGCTTCATGAACTTGGATGTTCAAATCTCTCTCCAGATTTGGGAAGTTCTTAGCCATTATTTCTTTAAAATAAGCTCTCTGCTCCTTCTCCCTCTCTTGTTCTTCTTGGACTCTAGTAATACGTAGATTATTTCTTTTAATGATATCCCAAAATGCATGTAGAATTTTTTACTCTTATTCATTCTCTATTTTGCTCCTCTGATTATTTCAAATGACCTGTCTTCTAGATCATTAATTCTTTCTTAGCTTGGTTGAGTCTCCTATTGAAGCTTTTTATGAATTCTTCAGTTCAGTAATTGTATTCTTCAACTCTAGGATTTGTTTGTTTTTCAATGGTTTCTATGTCTTTGTTGAACTTCTTTATTAACTCATTGTGTTCCTAATTTCATTTAGTTGTCTATCTGTTTTCTTGTAATTGACTCAATTTCTTTAAGAGGATTATTCTGAATTTATTGTCAGACAGTTAATAGATTTCCATTTTTTATGGTCACTCATTAAAGTGTCACTAGTTTCTTTGGGTGATAATATATTTCATTGTTTATGATCCTTGTGCCCTTGTGTTGGTGCCTGTATATTTGAGGAAGTTGGAACCTCTTCCAGTCTTTACAGATTGACTCTGTTGGGCAAAGCCCCTCACCAATCAGCCTGTGCAGAGATTCTGGGTGTACCATCTGGTGGTGTTTGCCAGCAGGCTGCTGGAGTACTTGGGTAGGCAGGTCTGGTGGCTGAATTAGCAAATCAGCAGGCCTAGTGCTTAGTTACACAGGGACCTGCCTAGTACTGTATGTAGGGGTGGACCTGGGTCAATTGGGACAGGCTTTGTGTTTGAATCTGTGGTTATGTGGCTGGGACCTCAGTCTGCATGGACACACCTGGATTCTAGGTCCCCAAGGGCAAATCAGGCACTAGGGACTACTGGGGTGGGTTTAGCACAGGGTTGGGCAAACTTTTTGACTCGAGGGCCACAATGGGTTCTTAAACTGGACCGGAGGGCCGGAACAAAAGCATGGATGGAGTGTTTGTGTGAACTAATATAAATTCAAAGTAAACATCATTACATAAAAGGGTACGGTCTTTTTTTTTTTTTTAGTTTTATTCATTTCAAACGGGCTGGATCCGGCCCGCGGGCTGTAGTTTGCCCACGGCTGGTTTAGCATCTAGGTCCACAGAGGCTGGTCTGGTACTGGCATAGACCAGGAGCCTGGTTTTGCAGGAGTCTACCTGGAAGCTAAGGCTACATGGGCCAGCTTAGCCCCAGAGCAGTCCTGGAGTCTGGGGCTGCAGGAGTTGGCCTGTAGCTGGGGCCCTCAGGAATTGACTTGGAGGTTGGGTCAGTAGAGGTTGTTGTGGCACTTAGATGGACCAGAAACCTGAATCTATGGGAGCTGCCCTTGGCTGGTCTATTTTTTCTAGGCCAGAGGCTTTGAAACATTTGGCCTGGTCTGAGGTGGGTTGGGGCCTGGGGTGACACAGTCAAATGTCCAGGAGACACATGGAACTTTTTTAAAGTATAGGGTTAGTAAGGATAAAAGCGGGGAAAAGGGAGGACATTCTAAGTAGAGAGAAGAATGTTCTTAAAAGGGCAAACACTAGCAGCCCTTCTCACATAGAATCCTACAGTTAAGTCCTGAGGTTCTGAGACATCTTATGCAACTAGAATGGTGAGAGCTATGTACCATCCTTAGGAAAATTGTGGGAAAATTACTGGAATAATTTTTCTTTGCAGAACCCCATTTGAGAAAGATAGGCAGGGGAGCACGATGCATTTGTCTTTGAGGCCCTTGATTTATTAATGGCACCACAGCGAATTAATCCATTTCTTAAATAGTTCCTGCTTTTTTTGTCTTCCACATTTGTGCACATGCTAACCCCCTTCCTGGGATGCCCTTCCTGTTTTTTGTTTTGTTCTTTTCTTTTTCTTTTTTTTTTTTATTTAAATATGTTTCTATTGATTTTTTTAGAGTGAGAGGAAGGGAGAGGGATAGAGAGATAGAAACATCAATGAGAGAGAAACATCAATCGGCTGCCTCCTGCACACACCCCCATAGGGCATAGAGCCCACAACCCGACCGGAAATCAAACTGGTGACCTCTTGGTTTGGGGATTGACACTCAACTGCTGAGCTGCACCAGCTGGGCTCTTTTGTTTCCTTCTAATCCTCACCCAAGGATGTGTTTACTGGTTTTAAAGAGAGAGAAACATCAGTGTAAGAGAGAAACATTGATCAGTTGCCTCCCATACACGCTCCCAACTGGGGATGGAACCTGTAACCTAGGTATGTGCTCTGACTGGGAATCGAACCTACAATCCTTTCGGCATATGGGATAACACTCCAACCAGCTGAGTCACCCAGCCAGGCACCTTTCTCATTTTTGCCAACTCAGTTCTTGTTCTTCAAACTGAGTTCAGATATCTCTGGAATTCCTTTCCCCAGTCTGGTCTAGATGATCTGTTCTTGTATTCTTGTATTCTTTACAACAGTTCTCACACAGTGTATTTCACTGGCCTATTTCCTTCATAAAAGCATGAACATTATTTTACTTATACTTACATCCCTGTACCAAACATAATGTCTGATGTACAGTAGACAGTAAAATGTTTGCTGGATGCATAACTGAATCAGTGTTTTCCAGATTATTTGATTGGAGTTCTTGAAGTTTCATTAGCCCTGTCTACAAGTTAATTTGTTGGGTGGGGCTGGGGACAGAGGGTCATTGAAAGGAGCACTGAGCAGGTGGGGCTTCAAGTCCTCTCTCCCCACTTCAGGCACAGGGTCTCTTTTATAAATCAAGGTTAAAGTAAAAAGATTCTGCTTGAAGAAAGAGATCTGCTTTAGTAGTTTTAAACTATTGGTCTAGGCCAGTGGCTTTGAAACATTTGGTAACCAGACCCTCAGTAAGAAATATATTTTCCATTGTTTACTGAAATTTATAGTTTCATGAAACAGTCCTTGCCCTTATTATGTACAATGCCCATTGATATTTTTTCTATTATGTTTTTTTAAATAAGGTTCATGATCATATTTTAAATTAATCATGTTAATTAATCTAACTAATCCTAAATTGATCTCAATTGACCTCAATTTTAAGACCAGTGGTCTTCGTACAGTGGGTATTGGGTTCAAATTCTTGACAGTTTCCTACCTGTGTGGGCTCAGGTCTCCATTTTCCTACCCATAAAGTAGAGACAATGCCTGTCATTCAAGGTTGTTATGGGGATTAAATGTGACAATGCTTGTAAAGAATTGGCACAGTGCCTACTATACTGTAAAAAAAAAAAATAGACATTCTGTGTGCTTTGGGAAACAGACCTACAATTGTATGTTCAAGTTTGAACTCAAAAAAAATTAAATATGTTCTATAATTTCTTTTGAATTTTCCTCACCATCACATCATTTAAGATGAAAAAATATATAAAAGCAATTTTACATGTTGGAAATTGTTTTAGTAAATAAAAAAAATCAGAATGTAGCTATCAATCCAATTTCACTTAAAATACCATAAATATTTAGAAATGACAGCAGGCTAGTGAAAAATTGGGTGATGAAATCATTTGAGAACTAAAGAATTCAGTAACTTAATGCCATTATTGGAAGAAAGCAAGTACTTAGCCTTACATAACACTAGGGACACTTAAAAAAATTTTTTCAAAAATCACATTTAAGAAAACCAACAATAACAAAATACTAAAACAAAATAACCTTTTTTCCACTTTACATTTTAGGTGTGTCGAAGTTGTGAAAGCTTCTCAATATGTAGAGCTAGCAAATGACCTGGAAATAAACAAAGCAATTACATATTTGAGACAAAAGGACTTTAACCAAGTAAGTTTAAAAAATTAGATGAAATTTCATGTTAATGGAGCAAAACAATAGTATTGGGAAACTCCTCTCTAGAATAATGTTACCTCTGAATATTTTGAAGTTGGGTGACTTCTGTCTGACCATAATTTTCATTAGTATGATACTTTGTTTTAATTTTGACCAGTTTGTCCTGTTTCTTTTTTAAAAAAAAACCCTAACCCTAGGACATGTTTTTATTGACTTTAGAGAGGAAAGAGAGACAGAGAAACATCGATATGAGAGAGAAACATCAATCAGTTGCCTCCCATATGCACCCCGACTAGGATTGAACCTGCAACCTAGGTATGTGTCCTGACCAGGAATTGAACCTGCTACCTTTTGGTGCATGGGACAACATTCCAACCAACTGAGCCACCTGGCCAGGGCAGTCCTGTTTCTTAAAATGTAAATGCTTTTCAGGTAAAACATGATTGTTTGCTAAATTACTAAACTATGTTCTAGTCCAGAGATCAACTTTCTCCTAGAGGTTTTCAAGCTGCTGCCTGAAGCTGTAAGGTTTTTCAGAATTAGGTATTATGTGTATGAGAAAGAAGGCCAGGACCTGGAATAGCAGCCTGGTGCTCCCATCCACTGTTTTCACCTGCTCTCTGTTTTATGTTTTTGTTTTTCTTATTGATGTTGCTTTGCGCCTAAAAGGGTCCTACTGATCACACAGTTTCAGAATCCTCCAGGATCTCTCACTGTACCACTCCTTTCTTGCTGCCTTGGGTGAAGGTGGAACAGGTGAGACATAGTTGACAAACCAGAATAGACAGCTTTATAAGAGGGGGAAGGGGACAAAAGAGAATAAACAGAATGAAACTTGATATTCTAGTTTATCAAACCAATGGTAAGTGTCATATGTGCCAGCAACCAGAAAACTCAGCTCCTCTGAGTTTAGACCGAGAGAGCTAGGGCCAGAGAACATCCTATCCCAAGCCTGTATCTTCAGGCTTTCTTCCAACTGAAGGACCGTCCTTTTGTCTAGGAGACTATAGGAATCACTAACCCCTTCTAGTCCTTTCTAGAGCGGTGAGGAGAATGCCATCGACTCCGGTGTTCATGTTATGAATATGTGATTAATACAATGCAGTACCATGGACTGATTCCATTTTGTGTATGAATTTAGTGTGCTTAACATTGCTTTAGCACCCTGGCTGGTGTGGGTCAGTGATTAGAGTGTTGGTCCGAGCACTGAAGGATGGAGGGTTTGATTTCCAGTCAAGGGTAGGTGCCTGGGTTGCAGGTTCCATCCCCAGCCCAGTTGGAGTGTGTGGGAAGCAACCAATTGATGTGTCTCTCTCTTTCCCTCCCTTCCACTCTCTCTAAAAAAAAAAAAAAAAAAAAAAAATCAAACGAAAAAATATCCTCGAGTGAGGATTTAAAAAATTGCTTTAGCATTTGTAAAGCACTAAAAAGACTTTTCAAAGGATCTTTATATCTATTCTTTTATTTGATCATTACACTGTTGGTCATTAAAAGTGCCACTGATAGCTCTTTAATGCTGCTGTCATGCTGTTTGAATGGAAGTGAAGTGAGACAGCTTGTTCTTTGTTATCCTGCTGAGGTCATCTCTGGACCAAAAGAAATAGTTTTTGTTTGTGTGATAAGTACTGTAATAGGTCACAAAATAGAAAAAAAATGTTTGCCAATTTTCTCAATATTTTATTTTTAAATGATCTTTTCAGAAAGATTTTACAATGTATTACGATAGTTCAAGGCTTTAAAACAATCTCTTTACCTGTATTTTAAGTCAGAATGTAATCTCTGCTTTCTTTTCAACTAGGGAGTTTTCTTTCCCTCTCACGTGACTTCAGAAATTAATGGCTGTGTATTAATTCCTGTTCACATGACTTATGTTTTAAATTAGCACATACATTTGTGACACAATCTGAAAGTAGAGATAAAAACATCTCAATTCTTATTCAAAGTGAAATGCAACTTATAAACTTACATAAATAGTGGCTTTTCCATGAATAGTATGGAGACTGAGTGTGGGGTCAATAAGGTGACTTCCACTGGTGAACAGTACAAGCAGCAGTCACTTCTGATACACGTTTTAGGAGCTTCTTGGCAGTTTAATAGAGGACTTGTTCAAGAACATAAGTGAAAGAGAATCACAAAAGCAAGGGCATGTTTAGGTTTTTTTCTTCCAGATTTTACTTTGTGGAATTATAAACTGCTGGCCTAGAAACTCCCAACAGTTTTCTTTAAAGTAATAAAAAAAAACCCTGAAAATAATAATTATTTACTTATATTATAACCAAGGCTTATGGAATCTAGTATTTTTAAATCTTCTACCCTTAAAAACATTGAGTCAACTATGTTTCATGGTACTTCGTTTGAGTTCAGACATTTGAACAGCGTATAGGTCAGACTTTGTCAGGTATTTTCAATACCAGTGGCTGATGGCCATTGTCAAAGCTCAAGTAAGACTTTTGCTGGGACACAGTGCTCTCTGGGAGCAGGAGGCACAACAAGGCAAAGCATTTTTTACTCAGTAAATGCATTTGGAAGGGAGGAAGGGAAGGGAGGAGGAAAGAAGGAAGAAAGGAAGAAAGGGAGAGAGGGAGGAAGGGAGGGAAGGAGGGAGGGAGGGAAGGAGGGAGGGAGGGAAGGAGGGAGGGAAGAAAGGAAGGAGGAAGGAAGACCCATCATCTTTTTCTAATTCTTTTTTTACACCCTGGTATATCTCGGTAATTTCCAGTTTGATAACTCATTCACCTTTCATGCAAGGTGTCTAGCCATTCCAAATGTCCTGTTTGGTTACGATTATCTTAGACCTCTAGGTGGTTAAAAGTGTACTTTGATTTCTCATGGCTTTAAAATGTACTTCTGTTTGGGTCTACTTCATATCATTTTCTGTATTTCTTCCCCTTCTGGAATTCCAGTTATGTTTGTCAGTGGTGGTGGAGGGGGGCGTCTCTGGCCTAGGTAAGCTCTGGCCAGAGACAGTACTCTGTGCCCCCCAGTTCTTGTCTTGCTTGTAGGAATGAATCCAAGCAAGAGAAAACAAATAGCAAAAGCAGGTGAGGATTTATTTGTAGGAAAGAAATACACTCAGGACCTGAGTGGGCAACTCAGCCAGCAAGACTGAACCAAGTGCCCTGAGCAGGCAGCTCAGCTGACTGAGACCAAACCGAGTGTCCTGATATTTGGGAGTTAGAGGATTTTTACTCCTAGGCTGGAACGCCCCTAGGCAAGGAGCAAGTCACCCTCTCCCTCCTGTCTCAAAGCAATCTACACTAATAAAAGAGAAACATGGTAATTAGCGTACAACCACTACCCTTTTCATTGGCTAATCAGTGAGTATATGCAAATTAACTGTCAGCCAAGATGGCGGCCGGCAGCCAGGCACTGAAGCGAGCACGAGGCTTGCTTGCTGCCAACTCCAACGTTCCCCCGCCTCACTTGCCGGCCTCTCAGCTGCAACTCTAAGCAACTATATACTATGTTGCAAATAAGAAGGTAAACAAA